AATTTCGTAATGAAGTTAAAACACTTAAGGAGGACAACGAGCGGCTCAAAAACCTGATGAATCAAGTGATCTTGAATCAGAAAGGTCTAGAGCAAGGCTCAATAGAAACGAGAGTGGTTGGCGGAACTGCGGACACCTCTTCCATGAGCCAGCCCCCTGTATGTGGAGGAAAGGACAGGAAGAAAAGAACGATCGGCAAATTTCCCCTAGATACCTCTTCGGACAAGGAGGAAGCGGAAAGGGAGAAAAAGGAAAAAGAGGAGGCCGAGGCAAACCGCCTAAGGATCCTAAAGAACATACAGGCCCAGGGGGTGCCTGCCGTTCAAAGGCCAGCAGTAGGCAATAAAAGGAAACTGTTGGAAGGGGCAGTTCCGGCTGCCAGACCGACAGAGACAGATATGGAGATTGAGATGGGAGGAATGGACTCCATTCATCCTTTAATTCAACCCCCGAGTCAGACCCAGCCTCTGAATCAGCCAGAAACAAGGACAAGTCCCATTGAGGACAGGTTGACAAGAATAGAGGGGATGATCGCCGAACTGGCAAACTCGATCAGCAAGCCAGTAAATGAGAAAACACCGACCTCACTGGTGACCACTGTAGCGAGAAGGGAACAACCCACTGCGGCTAAAGAGACACCCCCGACCAAAAAGGCCCAGGTTAAAAAGGGCGGTAAGAAAGCTGTCAATAAGACCAGAGAAGGAAAAGTGGCTAAGGTAGCTAGTATAACTAATACGGCTAAGACGGCCAAGGCAGTGTCCTATGCGGAGGCTGTTGGAAAGTCGATCAAGGGTTCATCAACCGGAAATAATCAGACATCTAATGGTAAGACGGATAGGGGCAATAATACTTCGAAAACCGTGGCACCCTCAGCCCCACTCAAAGATGGCTGGGCCAAGGTGGGGAAGAGAGGTAAAACGGTGAAGAACGTCGCAGTAAAAAACGGGGGAAATGGTAATACCCCTAATCAAGAGAATAAATCAGTTCCAAAACCGGTGGGCAAGGCGACAACCGAAAAACTCGCTGGTCAACCCAAGAAGAAAGAGGGTAGGGTCAAGTTACCGCGAAGCGCGGCCGTAGCGATTACGAGCGCTGGGGGTGAATACGAGGAGCTCCTCAAAGAAGCGAAGAGCAAAATAAGTCTCGCTGAAATTGGAATAACAGAGGGGCTGAAGCCTAAGAGAGCTGTAACCGGGGGTCTCATTATTGAGATTCCCGGAGCAGGTAACTCCGATAAGGCAGATAGACTAGCAGAGCGATTGATTCATCTGTTTGAGGGGAGACCGGATATAAAGGTGTCCAGACCGATAAAAACTATGGAGATCAGAGTTCTCGACCTGAACGATTCGGTCACTAAAGACAGCCTAACAAAGGCTATCGCGGAGTTGGGTGGTTGCTCACCAGCTCAAATCCAGGTAGGTCAAATGAATCAAGGTCCCAACGGCCTATACACGGCGTGGGCGAAATGTCCTCTGGGAATGACGCGGAACATCCGGGAAGCTACCCTTGGGAAAATATACTTTAAATAACTTTAAAGTTCTTAAAAGTAATTTTAAAAATTTAAGAGTTTACTTAAGAAATTTTTAGGTAAATTAAAGTGTGTACAAGGTTAATTTAAAGTAATCTAAGAAATTTTAAAATATTTTAAAACTGACTGTAAAATAATCTTAAAAAACCAAAGGTTTTAAAAATTGACTTTAAAATAGTATTCTGGTACTCTAAAGGAGTGGAAAAGTAGCATTAAAGTAATTTTAATAAATCTTAGGTAATCATAAGAAAACATTAAACTTTAAAGTTTTTTTATAAATCTCGATCTTAACTTAAAAGTTACATGGAAGCAAATTTTCAAGGAGATTTATCTCATGTAATTAAATCTTTAAGGTTTAAAGTTATAAAGTTAAAGTTATAAGTATTTTAAAGTTGAACTTGGTTAGATGGCGCGTGTGTGAATGGTAGCGGTGAAAGTGCGTTGTGCGATTTTAGCTTTGTTTCTGGGTTTAAAGATTAGTATGTGGCAAGTAGGGATAATGGAAAGATAGGGTGTAAGTAGGGGATGCGATGAGAATGAAGGAAGATAGTAGGATGCAAGTAGAGAAAAGAAGTATAGAAGTGTTTAGAGAACGTGGTAGGATTGAGGTTATGTCATGGTGACGAGTCAGTTAGGCGGTAAAGGCGGTAATGGTAATGTAGGTAAAGTAGGGAAGGTATATTTTATAATTTCTCGTGTACCCGAAATCGTCGAGAAGTCGCGTAGCGGGTGTGTATGTGTGTGCACGTGTGTCGCGCGGATTCGCACGCCAGGACGATCGATAAGCCGTCCGTCGTCGAGATCGCGTCTTCCGGGAACGAAACGCGGATCATCGGGAAGCCCGGCACGTGCCGGCACCGTTCCCTCGAGCACGAGCTGGCGAAAACCTAACCTGCAAAGGCCGTCTGCGAAACGGAGATGCCTCGAGCCTACGAGCATTTTGACCCAGTTCTTATGTCAAGACATTGGACTACTGCGCATACGTAATGTTGTTTCACCTTTCTAATTACATCATGCTTGCTCCTGTAATAAACGTTGCTTTTATTATAGGCGGGGGGAGGGGCTCTGCACCATCCTCCTCGCCTGCGCCTCGACTTTCGACTCGGGGGGGGGGGGGGGGTCCCCCCCCCCCCCTCCCGCCTATGTGCCCATTTCTCTCAACTCGGAAAGGTTTCGCCCCCCCTTACCCCCCGCAAGTCCTTCTTTAAACTTTAGACGCACTTGTGATATAAAATAGTGTGTGTAACTATTCTTTATTATTATTTCTATATTGCATCTGGAATTTTTAAAATGCTTTTAAGTTTTAAAATAAGATATAAATATTTATCTTCTTTTATATGTCTATCCTTATTAGGAAGAAATAATTTATAAGATTTACTTTAGTTTTTATAGTTTGCTTCCATTGAAACGAGTATAAAGGATAAAAGATTCGTATAAAGGATTTCAAGTAAAAAACAAAATTGTATTAAATTATCGTCAGGTTTAAATATATTAAGTAGCATGTTTTACAATAATTTCAGTATTTTAACAAATGGAGCCGCAAAACAATTACTTATAGAACACTAAATGAACTAGCAAACCCAGACCAAAACAAGAAGCTCTCCAGCAATTAATAAATCTGGCAGAGTTACAAATGAAAATTAAATTGTAAAACATGGGTGTACTGAATAATATTTTAAAAACACTTTAAAAATTTATAATAAATAAAATAATAACAAATTTAACTTACAGCAATGCTTACTTTGATAGCAAATTGCTCACTCGGTGTTTTCTGTGTTTGCTGGGTACTTATCCCTGTGAAAAAACCTTAGAATTATGAAAAATAAATTTAGGCATTTTTAACTTTAAAATTGTCGAAATTTACTTTTCATAATTTTAAGATTCTTTTTACATTCTTCTTGAAGTAAGTACCTTATAGTTATAAGATTACCTTAAACAATAGTTTTAAAAGTGTCCAAATTTACCTTTAATTTTTTTTAAGTTTTTCTCTAAAGTAAGTTTTAAGTTTTTTTTTAAAGATTTCTAAAGTAAATTTTCCCAAGGGTAAGAACAAATTGCGGATCGGATGGTTCGTGGCCAGGATAAGGGAACTCCCTGCAAGGCCCCTCCAATGTTTCAAATGCCTGGAGGGAGGCCACGTGAGGGCTCAATGCCCCAATGTTGAAAACCGTAGCGAAAGGTGCTATAAATGTGGAGGAGTTCAACATCGTGCTAGAGACTGCCGTGAAAAGCTTAATTGCCCAGTGTGCGCAGACCTGGGGAGACGTGCAGACCACAGAGCCGAAGGCAAAGCGTGCTCCTCGGCAAAAAGCAAGGAAAAGCCTAGGATTCTACCCACGCCAGCCACCCAACGACCTCCAGCCCGAAGGAGGGAAAGGGAAGTGGAACCAATGGATGTGAAAGAGGCAACAACGGCTGTTACTGGGAAGGGACCCTGTATAACGTCCATCGAGACAGTTAACTTGCAGATCGTCGGCAAGCAGGCAACTAAGAGGTCGGCTGACTTCACTGGAAGTAGCGAAAATGAGACCAAGAATGAAGTAGGAGGGTCTAACCCTAAGGCCCAAAGAAAGAGAGGGGGTAAAGTGAAAAGAGAGGAGGATATCACATCACAGATAGAAACTCCGGAGCCCACTCACAGGATTGAGACATGTGAACAATTCGAGAAAGAGAAGGACATGGATCCAAATGCGTCAGTTCGGAAGACCCCACCAATGACGCAGATCCAAACAATAGCGCAGGAGGAGGAGTCGGAGCTGATGAAGGCAACAACGACTGCGACTGATAATGAACCAGCCAGGGGTAAGGAGAATGCGGAGGACATATGGGGAGATGAAGCATTCTAATGCCCCCTCACCGCATAATCCAAGCCAACTTGAACCGCAGTCGTGCTTCGCAGGATGTGTTATTGCACACAATGGCGGAGCGGGACTGTGGCTTGGGAATAATTGCCGAGCCGTGCCGGGTACCGCACGACCACTCGCTATGGGCAGGTAGCAGGTGTGGTCTAGCGGCAATTACATGGAGGAGAACGGCCGAGACTGTCCCCTGCTCGAAATTCGAAGCAGGGGATGGGTACGTTGTCGTCAAGGGGGGCCGAGTGTATGTGGCGAGCATTTATGTCTCGCCAAACGTGGACCTGGCTTAATTCGAGGAGGTATTGGCGGACCTCAGGGCCTGCATCTCTGGGATTTCATTCGCTCAACGCCAGATAGTCGTGGCCGGGGATTTCAACGCGAAATCCGCGTTGTGGGGCTCCCCGGTCACTGACAGACGAGGCAGAATTTTGGAGACATGGGCGGCGGGTTTGGACCTGATTATAATTAATTCCGGACGGGTACAAACCTGCGTGTGACAACAGGGAAAATCTGTAATCGATCTCACGTGGGCTAGTCCCATGGTCGCTCGCAGGATTGAGGGATGGAGGGTGGCCGAAGAAATAGAGTCACTTTCTGACCATCTTTTTATAGAAATGTCTCTTTCGGCCATCCCGCCGGAAGTACAGGCCCGTCGTAGGGAAGCAGAAGAGCGCTTTCCCAGATGGGCTCTAAGGAAGATCGACGCGGATCTCCTCAGGGCGGCTATGAGCGTATCGCTCTGGGCGAAGGATCCGGCGGCCTCCTCGGAAGATGTGGACGAAGCTGCCGGCTGGATCGGGGGAGTTATGAAGGCTGCATGCGACGCTGCCATGCCCCTCGTCACGCCGATGAAGAGAAAGGCGGCCTATTGGTGGACGGAAGAGATCGCCGAGCTGCGGCGCTCCTCTGTCCGGGCCAGACGCCGCTGGTTGAGGGCTAGACGTAGCCAGGACTAGCGGCGAATGGATGAGTCAGGAGTAGAGTACAGCTCCGCCAAGCGGCTCTACTCCTGGGCCATAAAACAGGCCAAGGATAAGTCCTGGCGGGAACTCTTGGTGGCCCTGGATGAGAATCCATAGGGGCGTCCCTACCGCATGGTTTTAAACAAGCTGCGGACTTGGACGCCCCCGGTAACGGAGTCCATGGACCCTGGATTTCTAGAACAAGTGGTGAGTACCATGAGTACCCTTTTCCCGGATGACCCCGGGAAAAGGGCTCACGGAGGTCCTCCCCCACCAGTAGTGGAAGGGTGGGACGAAGATGAATCCGGTGTGTCCATGGACAAGATGCGAAGAGCCGCTCGCAAACTTAAGGCAGGCAAGGCTCCAGGGCCAGACGGAGTGCCGGGCAAAGCCTGGATCCTGGCCTCTGGGAAGCTAGCTGAGCATCTGCGTAAGTTGTATAGCGGGTGCCTCAAGCAAGGCCGGTTCCCCAAGGCGTGAAAGAGATCGAAACTAGTCCTCCTTCCCAAACCGGGGAAACCCGGCGACCAGCCATCGGCGTACAGACCGATCTGTTTGTTGGACGAAATTGGCAAGCTCCTTGAGCGTATTTTAGCCAATCGAATCGTCCAACACTTGTCCCGCACGGGGCCTGATTTATCACAGGCGCAATTCGGCTTTCAGGAGGAAAGATCGACTATCGACGCGATCAAACGTATCGAGTCCCTCCTGAGGGCCGTCTTGGAGGAAGGCAGGGTGTTGCTTGGCGTCAGTTTTGACGTAGCAAACGCGTTCAACACCCTGCCGTGGCGGGTAACAAGGGAAGCACTTCAACACCATGAAGTGCCCTCTTATTTGGTGGCCACATTATATGACTACCTGCGGGACAGGGAACTGGTTTATACAGACCAGGATGGTGAGGTCCGAACAAGGCTGGTCGTGCGGGGGGTTCCGCAGGGGTCGGTCCTGGGACCACTCCTGTGGAACATAGGATACGATCATGTTCTCCGGGTCGCCTTCCTCCCGGGATGTTGGTTAAACGGCTTTGCCGATGACACATTCTTGGGAGTTGAGGGCGATAATTGGGGGGAGGTACTGGCTCAAGGGAACGTCGCAGTGGCGGCAGTCGTGGCCGCGATGAGGAGACTGGGTTTAAGGGTGGCTCCTCAGAAGACCCAGGCCGTCTTGTTTCATGACAGGCTCATGGGGAGACCACCGAGAGCCCACATCAGGGTTGAGGGAATCCGAGTCGCTGTGGGGCCCGGCATGAAATTGCTGGGCCTATGGTTAGACGAGACCTGGAGTTTTGGCGAGCACTTTGCTCGCCTGACACCCAGGGTTAAGACCATCGGCAACTGCCTAGCAAGATTGATGCCGAACCTGGGAGGGGCGAGCAACAGGGCTCGCCGGCTCTACGCGGAGACAATTAATGCTGTGGCACTATACGGGGCACCAATTTGGGTCCCGGCGGCGGAGCGATCCGTCCGCATCAGGACGCAGATGCGCCAGATGCAGAGGACGGTCGCTCTGCAAGTAGCCAGGTGCTACAGCACTGTCTCACACGCGGCGGCGACTACGCTCGCGGGACTTCCCCCGCTGGAGCTTGCCGCCAGGCAACGAGCTAATGTATATGAGCGCGTGGCGAGGCTTGGGGCGAAGGAGAACCCGGTTCCGCCGCGTACGCGTAGAGCGATTGGACTCCAGGAGAAGACCGTCCTTGTCCGTAGATGGCAAGAGTGGCTCGGCAATGCTGAGTGGGGACAGAGGACGGTCGATGCTTTCCGACCCCATCTGGCGGAATGGCTAGATGAACGACGGCGACTCGGAGTAACGTTTTATTCGGTGCAGGTGCTCACCGGACACGGGTGTTTTGGTGTGTACCTGCATCGAATTGGTAAAGAGGCCACGACAGAGTGCCACCATTGCGACGAGGGGAGAAACACGGCGCAGCATACGCTGGAGGTATGCCCAGCGTGGGCTGAACAGCGCCGTGTCCTGCAGGGGGAGGTCGGCCCAGATCTCTCCCTCCCGGCCATAGTGGCAGCTGTGGTCGGGAATCAGGAGAAGTGGAGAGCCTTCACTGGTTTTTGCGGATCGGTGATGGCCCGTAAAGAGGAAGATGTGCGAGTCCGTAGAGGAGAGGTACATCCTCCTCCCTCACCAAGGGGCTCATTATAATAGATAGAACGCGGGGAGAAAACTACCATTAAACCCTGCAGCATTCTTTCTTCACTATAGAGAGAAGCCATTAGCCGTGAAACGGCAAGAGAAGATTAGAGAGGTTCAACGATCCAGCAGGGATTTATGGATCTTGAACATTTTTCATACAAGAAAAGGAGGAGTGGCGAGGTGAGGTGGTGTCACACCTTGCCACATCACAGATAATAGATCGGCCGGCAGGCTGCGAGCCACCAAAGCTCGAGAGGTGAGAGCCTAACCAAAGGCTCAGCGTAGGAGGCGCCCCGGATGCAATGATAACCAGTTCCCGGGGCGTCCCCATAAATACGCATAGTTTGGACACTCACGGGGTTTTAGTGGGTAGGTCACGCACATTAGTGCGTGGAATCCCACACTCCCCCCGTCTCTCTCCCCGAAGGGCGGGGGGGTCTTCCCCCTCACAACACTTGAGGGGGCTGTCGGGCCACATACCAGACCGACGTCTGGGAACCCGGCAGGAGAAGATTTCCCCATGTAAAAAAAAAAAAAAAAAAGTTTTCTCCGGGTCCTGCGCGCCAGCGTTGAGGAAGATCTATCCCTCCCGGCCATAGTGGCAGCAATGGTCGAGAGGGAGCAAAATTGGCGCGCCGTGGCATCGTTTTGCGGCAAGGTCATGGCCGCCAAAGAGGAGGCAGAGAGAATCCGGCGCGGAGAGCAACCCGCGCCGGACCAAATAGACGTGGACGGCGACGGAGGAGTTTTCCGACGGCCGCAAGGACTGCGACCTCGTAACCGGAGATGGAGACCCCCCCCCGTAATCGCCGTCCCCCACCCCCGGTGGATCCTACCGGGGTGGGATAAAAAGGGAGGAAAAGGGGAAAGCACGGGGGCGGGGGAGGTTGGGATAATATACACCCTCCCTTTTCTCCTCCAAAGTTCGGATGAAAGAAATACGTGCTAAGCCAAATTAGCGGCTTGGAAGATTTTTTGATATATGCCCCCCCCTCCCTTCAGAGGGGAAAAGGGGGGCTTGAATATAGACTGAGGGGATTGGGGGCCCGGGCGGGGATTCCCGGGTCCCTCAACCCAATCCTCTCTAGTCGCAAGAGAGAGCGCGGCAGGGAGAGGTTGTGTCACTCTCTGTCGAACATTGATGGTATTTCCTAAGCGGGAATTAGGGAAGAAGCGCCTCTGATCTCAGAGGCACCTGGGCGGCGGGTGCCTCGGAAGTCATGACTACGTCGTTCCCGAGGCACCCGCGTAACGCCAGGGCAGGACACACGCTGGGGTTTTAGTGGGTAGGCTGCGCGCGCTATCGAGCGTGCGTGGAATCCCACACTCCCCTCGTTCTCTCCCCGGAGGGCGGGGGGTCTTCCCCCTCCAACAACAGAGGGGGCTGCTGGGCCACATACCGGGCTTGCTCGGGAACCCAGCAGTGGAAAATTTCCCCAGCGTTAACAAAAAAAAAAGTTGGGTTTTTTCCAGGGGGTGGGGGGAGTCCTTCCGGAGCCTCTAGGGGCCCGGGGGAGCCCTCCACTACGGGTTTTGCGAACCCGGAGTGCCCGAGCACATCAGTACCATAATCCACGGCATTCCGCAAGGTCTGTCGTGGACCGGGGAGTCCTTTTTCAGGACTCGCGAGGCAGACTACCTCTATAAACAACTGTCCGGCTGGACGGGGCCGTGAGGGAAGAGCTTTTGCTCCCCCGACCGTCCTATGGGAAGGAAAACCCAGACAGAAAACCGGGGGCCCGGCCGCCCCGCTTAGGAGACTGGATCAGGCTTTGGCCATCCAGACTCCAACGGCCGGTAGGGGTTGGCGGCCCTGACTGCAATCGCCCGGTCGGCCGGGACCGAGAGGGAGGAGTTTCTACTCCTCCCACCGGCCTAGAGGAAAGAAAACCTCGATAAAAAACCACGGGGCAGGGGGGCTCCTTCTCGGTCATTGCACGCCGGTGCTCCGGCAGGCTCGGGGGGGAGACTGGTTCCCTGGGGAGAGAAGTGGGACGGATGATCCCTCGCCTCCCCCTGGGCTGACGGCGGTCGTCGGATCTCTCGGGCAATGGCCCGGTCCGGCGGTCGTCCGGCCTGGGGGGTTGCGGGGTTCTTCCCGTACCACGTCACCCCACTCCCGGGGTTGGGCCATTCACCCATTGCACGCCGGTGTTCCGGCAGGGTGGATGGTCCTGGGGTTTGTCCCTTCTTGGGGTGGGGTAAAGCCGGCCGTATCCTCGCGGTTGGGGGTCAAAAGGCCTGCACCTCGTCATTCGACGGGAGCGCGGCAGTCCGGGGAAACCTTGGCTGTTGGCGCTGCGGGTCTGCATCGCCCTTCCGCGGGGTCGCGAAGATCCCCTCTCCTAGGAGAGGGGATAACCGCCTTTCATCCACCCAGTACGTGGTGCTGGGCTGGGTGGAGGGTAGGCCCGTACTAAGGGATTGCACACCAGGGACGTGGTCCCACGGTTCCCCTAGTGCGGAGGGTCGCCTGGGCCGCTCGAACATCTTTCGAGGTCGGGGCCAGGCGTCCTGGGTGGGAGACCCGTTGGGCCGCTCGGACATATTCCGGGATCGGGGCCAGCGGGTCTGGTCACCGGACGTAAGGGCCGGTGACGAATGCGGAGTCCGTTGGGTCGGCGGTGGCGTGGGCGCTCCGTGTCCCTGCTCGTGCGTGGCGGGGACCGGGATCGAGCGTGCTCGGCCGGGGCCGGGATCGAGGTTTCTCGGCCGGCCACCCCTCGTTGCGCGCGGGTGGGGGTGGCGGAGTTCTCTCGTCGGCGTCGACCGGCGGACGGTGCCTCAGGGGTCGGGGGCGGTCTCTGGGGGTCCTTTGGGGCCTTCGGAGGGCGCTCTCGATACGG